CCCCCCCCCCCGCCCTCCCTGCACCCCCTGCCACTGACATCTCGGCGGTGCTGGGGCGGGGGGCGGTGGTGGAAGGGTCCGAGAGCCCCGTTGGCCATCAAACTGGGAGGACGGGGAAGCTGCCCGTACCCACCTGGGCAGACAGTGAGGCTCTGCTTCTTGGCCAGGCTGATGAGCGGCTCTCTCTGGGCCCTGACGAGGAAGAAGTGCCCGGGAGACAGGTTCTCCCCATCCCACAGGTCGAAGGCGAAGCCCCCATCCAGGGGCCCTGCGGAAAGTACAGAGCTGGGCATTACTGGTGGGGGGCAGAGGGGGCTGCAGCTCCCCGTTAACCTGGCGCGGTTTGGACCAGGGTGCTGCGTGATGGGGTTAGTGTCGGCCTGGGCAGCACAGGGCTCCCTGCCGGTGATGTCCCCACCCGGGGCGTCCCCTTGCCTCAGGCTGGGGGTGATGCCAGGGGGCCGGGGCACCTCAGCCCTGCCCTACCTTGGTGCACGAAGAGGATGAGGCCGTTGTTTATCTGGGCCTGGGTGAAGCGCCGGACCTCGGCGCCGGGCGCTGACTTCAGCACGACCTTCCCGTTGGCCGGGGGCTGGATGGAGTAGGTGACCTCCTCTGCCGGGGAGTCCTCGTCCTCAGTGCTGAAGATGTGGGGGCCGATGGCAGCCGTGGCCCCTTCCCGCAGCTGGGGGGCAGGGAGAGGCTGGAATCCCCTGGGGGATGCTGTCCCTGCCCAGACTGCTTCCCTGGGTGCCTGAGCAAGTCCCAGCCCAACACGGGTGCCTTGTCGGCGTGCTGGGGGATGCCTCTGTCTTCTGGCCGCTTCCCAGCCCTGCGTCACCCTGTGCCACTGCCGTGTTTGCTGGCACTGGGTCCGTGCATCTGCGCTGGAGGGCAAGAGCGAGGGCTCGCCCCTTCGTGCCTCAGTTTCCCCAAGAAGGCACGGTGCTCGAGTGGGTCCCGGGGCTGGGGCAGAGGCTGTGCCTTGGACATGTCTCTCCCCTTTGCTCTGCAGGCTCTTGGTGGGGTCCCGAGCCCTGAACTCGCTCCCCAAGCCGCTGCTGCGTACGTGACGGCCGCAGCCCCGTCTCTCCCCGGCTGGGCTCCCGTCTCACCGCCCCCTCGCAAGGCTGCGGCGAGGCCACCATCCGTCCCAGCAAACCCTCCAGGAATGACAAGTATGCTGCCGAGCTCAGGGCTGCTCCGCAGCTTCCCAGGGCCTCTTTGCCCCGGCCAGCGGTGCCCACCCACCCCCGGGGTGCTGCCACCCCAAAACCCCTCTCCGGTTGGAGGCAACAACTTTCCCCGCTCCTCATCCTGTGCCGTATCTCGGTCTTGGCAGAGCCCAGGGCCGAATCTTGCACTGCCAGACAGGTTCTGCCCACGCTGCCCAGAACGGCCTCTCGCCCTCGGGGTGCCCTGAAATCGCGGGGCGCGTGGACCGAGCCTTCCCGCGACCCGAGCGGGGCGGAGCAGCTGGATGTGCTGCATCCCACGGCATCACCAGCCTGGCCCGCAGACCCACAAGGCAAGACGCGGGCGCTGGAGGAGCCGCTCAGCTGGCCGTGCTGGGTTAGATGAGCTCTTTTCTGCTGTTTTCAGCTGGCCCAGCACCAAACATTTCTTGAGTGGGTGTGGGTGCCGACAGTGAAATTAAATCCCTCTGCAATCCCCATGGGATGGCAGGAGGCAGGCTCGAAAACGCAGCTTTGGAGAGACAGGATGGGGGGAGTGCTGCCCGACACCGAGGTTTTCGGGCTGCCCGACACCGAGGTTTTCGGGCTGCTGCCTCCCCTTGGGCTTGGGGTCAAGGAAAACTCCCTGTGGTCAAAGCCTGGAGAGGGGTTTGCAGGCAGGGGGGAGCGGTGGGCATCGCTGCCTGCTGGGGACGGGCACACACGGGCTGTCTTCGTCACGCTCCCCGTCCTCCCTGAATTATTGAAGCCTTCCGTCTGGTTCCTGCTCTCACTTACTCGGCTTATTATGTTTGCTCAGCCTCTGTGTCGCCTCTGCTCTCCGGGAGAGCGCGCAGCGAGGCAGCGAAACAACGCCGGGAGCACGGCCGCGTGGGTTTCGGTGCAGCGGCGGAACCCTTGCTTGGTGGCATCCATCCATCCTTTCTCCTGGTGCTACCCGAAAAGCTGCTCGGGGCAAATCTGCCTGGTCCTTTCCAGGGGTCTTGGCTTCGGGGTGTGAACCCTGCCCGTTGTTCTCCCCAGCCCTGTCTGGACTCTGCACCCCCGGAGCTGGCAGGCGCAGGCAGCAGAGGAAGGCTTTGTGCAATCTCTCCTGGACCCAGCCTGACCTTTAAACGGTGAAGTCATCTCTCACCAGAGCACAAACACAGCAGGGCCGGGCCCCTCCTGAGCCCTGGGTTGCTTTAGCAATGCTCCTGCTTGGAGCAGGGAGCCTTTCCCAGCTCCAGAGCCTCTCCCATGGGCAGCGGGTCGGCTGCGGTTACCCCTTCCAGGGCTGGGGGGGTTCCCAAGGGAAAGGCTGCCTTGGAGTTTATTTTGGGAGATTTTTTTTCTTTCTTTTCACGCTTTTTTTTAGCGTGGTGGCCGGGAGGGAACGACATGCTTCCCTAAGTGCCTTGCAATCACTGGACTAATGAACCGGTTACTGGGGCCGCCTGGGTGGTGCCCAGCCCGTACCCTTCCCTTCGGGCGTCTCCTCCAGAGCCCAGGCTCCCAGACACCTTCCCAAAACCGCTGCATGGAAGGGGCTGCTTTCCCTGCTGCCAGCCGGGGAAATCCTGGGATGGGTGAGGATAGCCTGGGGGGCAGGGGGAGCAATGTTCCTGCTGGCCTGGCTCTCCAGCATGTTTTCTAATAATTTCTTTGCTGAAATTTTGCGTTGGTGGCCCTGAACAGGGCAGGGAGGTGTCTGAAACAGAAGGTGGGACTTGCTGGGCGTTAGTTTTCTCACAGAGCGCATGCTGCTGCAGAGGAGATCGGACCTGGGTGCGACGAGAGGCGTGAAGGCTGCCTGAATCATGGAGCATTTCCAGCCTGCGCTGATGAGACGTGAGCAAGCTGCTCCTTGCGTTCCCAGGATTTACTCCGGGCCTTGGGGCAGGGGGAGCAGGGGGCCCGTCCTTGGACCAGGGGAGGTGAGGAGCTGCTGCCTGCATCCCTGCCTGTCCACATCCCTACCTGAACTCCAGCCTGCTCGCCCGCCTGCCCGCCCGCATTCCCTGCCTGC